TGTGTGGCTGTGTGTCACCTCTGCATATTACTTCCATGGGAGAGATACCCAAGATAAAAAGGGCAAGGAAGAGGGCACCGTGGGTGTAGAAGGGGAGACCGCATGGCAGCTGGTGAGAGGCTGTATGTGCGTGCAGGAAACCTCTATTTTCTCAACTTTCCTTCTTTGCTCATGTGCCTGTGGCAGGGTGGAAGGACCGGGGTGTTCTACTATGCAACCAGCAGGGGGAGCAGTGAACTGCAAGTGACTTCCCATGGGGCGAAGAAGGTCATTCCTGGGCCTGGTGATTTACCGGTCGTCATCTTGCCTGGCATTGATAGGTTCTGTTTTAGGAAGGTATTTTCTGTTGATTTCCCCCCGCCACTTCCTGTTTGTGGTTACCTAAACTATTTGACACCAAGAACAATAGTGCACTAAAAGTAAAAGCTCCCTGTGTTAGTAAAAAAAAAAAAAATGTATGTTTTGTTTATGAATTTCTGAGGTACATGGTGAACTGTGGTTTCAAGATTGTATTTCTGGAGTCTAGCTAGAATTTAGATTCCAGAAAAAAAATTACTTGTGCACCTTGGGTTCAGAATAATAGGTTTGCTTGGAAGCAGCACTGGAAGGATTGACTGGTAGAGCAGTGGAAGATGATTCTTGTCCCTGGAACCTATTGTGGTGCTAGGAATTGAAATTTCTTTCAAGCGACACTACACATGTCTTTTTAAAAGTTAAATAACAAATACAGATTTTACCTAAAAGGGATACCTTTTTTTCTTTAACCACCCTAATTTAGAAATATTCTTTAAAAAAAATTTTTTTTTCCCCTTGGAGGTACAAATTCTGATGCTGCAAAGAACAAGACTGGGTCGTCAAGCATCTGTCCCTGGCCTTGAGTGGCACGGGTGGTGGAGGAACTATTGGCAGTGCCAACGGCTCCTCTCAGGTCCAGGGGTGGGAGGATTAGCAGATTTTAAGAAACCCACTCAAAATGAGCTGGGAAGGTCAGGGCTGAGCAGCACGGGGGACCTGGTGCGGTGAGTAACACTCCGTCATGCATGACTCAGCATCTTTTTGGATCATGGACCCCTTTGTGCGTTTGAACAAAAAGCAATGGAACTTCTCCTACGAAAACAGGCAGCACGCTCGCAGGAATGCCCCAGGTTGTTTCAGGAGCTCATGGGGGCTGCCCCTTCCCCAGCGCCCAGTCCTGACAGCTGGCTGCACATTCAAAGCAAGTCTGTTCCTCTGCATTTGTTTTTCTGTGTTTTTCAATTTTTGTAATGAAAGTTTTATGCAGAATGTATTTGTACCTAATATAGTTGTGTAATACTACACTCATTTTATATATAGTGTAATATAGGGACACATAATTCAAAATTGAGAGATTACCAATTGAGAGAGTAGTGTTAATGAAATTTAAAACTGTGACTCTTCCTAACTAGGAGAGGGCCCATGAGAAGAAATAAAACTACTAGTAACTGGAAGGTTGGGGTCTAATGACAGGTAATACAGTCCTGCTTCAAGCAGAGATGTCGTGCCTGGCCCCCTCAGTGGCTCTGTGAGACAGGTAGAGGTAATGTGCTGGTGAATGGCCCTGCAGGGGCAAGAGGTTAACCACATGTTCAGGTAGCTTAAGAGTCTTACCTGGGATTGGTGCCATGGCACAGCAACCGACATGATGCCTCTCATACTTATCCCAAACAGGAGTGCTGGTTCAGGTCCCAGCTAGCCTGCTTCCACTCAAGCTTCCTGATAATGCATAAGGGAAAACAATGAAAACTGGCCCAACTATTTGGGGTGCCTGCCCCCCATGTGGCAGAGCCAGCTGGAGCTCTGGTCTCCTGGCTTTGGATGGGCACAGCCCCAGCTGCCGTGGGCGTTTGGAGAGCGAACCAGTGAATAGAAGATTCTCTCTCTCTCTGTGTACCTTTCACATGAACAAGCAAGTAAATCACCTTTTGTATTTTATTTACTTTATTTATTTATTTTTAAGGAAGAGGCTTTGGCTGCAGCAGATGCTGCTGCTGCTGCTGCTGACCACACATTTTCAGCTCATGTCACCGAACCACAGGGGTAAGGCAGTGGTTCTGGGCTGTTCGTGGCCCCATTCCTGCAGTTCCTGCTGCTCCCTGAGGATACAGAGCCATTGAATCCTGCTGGTCAAGACGTCATAATGGAACACTTTCTGTTTTTTGAGGGTTTTTGTTGTTTTGTTGTTTTGTTTTGTTTTTTTGCTACTCTATCAGAAGCCAGGAAGCTGAGCCCTGTGAGCTGACGATTCAGCATTAGCTCTCTCCTGTTGGCATTGTAATACCAACGTATTTTAAAGCAGAGAGAGGGCCCTGGAAGGCTTTAAATGCATTCATATATGGAAAGGATTTACAGTGTGTTATTAAATGGGAGTCCCTGAGGCTCGCCTCCCTAGAAGTGCCAACTGTTTTTTGTCCCAAATTTCCCATGGTGCTACCGTCCAAAAGGAAGTACTCCTCAAGATGGGTTATTGTTCTGACCCCAACGACCTTTATAACTTTTCTTATCTATAATCCAATGTCTGAACTTCCTTCTCAGTGATATTAAGTAGAATAGCATTTAAAAAAAAAAGTCTTTTGGCATTAAAGATAATAAATGTATTCAGCATTGTTCAGGTGTCTTTGCTCTTTGCCAGTACATTAGCAGTATTGATTTCAGAATTTTAAATGACCCTCTTTACCAGACTTGATTAATGTTCCTTCCCAAGCTCTTGGCTACCTGCTCCTTCCCTCTCTGGCACTTGTGCCTTCCCTCTCACATTTGCACAAGTTACAGGTGGCTGACCTTTAACTGACCGGGTGCTAGGGAGTGTTGCAAAGAGTGTCCCTCTCAAGACATGACTGGTCACAGAAGGGCCAGCCCTGCAGCACATGCCTGTATGTCCATTTTTTTCTAGTCCGGGTCCTGGGCGCTCACCCAGTAGACCTCTTGACTTGTGAAGTACCCAACTGTCCTACCATGTGACCACCAGGGGGAGGTGTTTAGCCCAGGGATTGGAGTAAAAGTGAGGTCTCCACCAGGGAGGCCAGTTCATTTCGAATGTCACCATTCCAACCTAAGACCAAGGTTAATTTTCTGAAATTCTTTTTCATTAATTGATTGTGTCTCCTGCTAACCCTTTTAGGACACTCCAGTTAAAATGTTGCCCGCACCTTATTTTGTTTTGTCTCTGCAAGTGGACTTGGAGGTCCCTGAAGACAATAGGACACCTGGGACAGGTCTGTGCGCGCTACCTGCAGTGGCCCAGGGCAAATGCTAAGTGGGACAGACGAAGGCCAGGCTTCCCTTCCCTTTCAGGAAAAGGGACAAGGGGGTGGATTTCCCTTTCCTTGGCTATGGTCATTTCTCCATGGGGATTCTTTTCACTTGATGACTATTTGTGTGTGTGTGTGGAAGATTTTGAAAGTAATTTTTTGGGTAACTGATAATATAATTACTTAATAGCAATAACTATTCCTAACTTTATTAGACTAATGCATGGGCTCAGCATTTTTCACAGACTTCTCTAATACATCCCTAATAACAGCATAGTTGAATATCTTCAAGATTAAAGTTTCCATTAAAGATTTATCATCTTTTACTCAGTCATCTTCATAAATGTTACAAGGAGACAAAAATTTATCTCACTTTCTTATCCTACTGTTATCTCTTAGATATACCATGTTTTGTTTCCTTGACGCTGTCAGCTGTGCTAGCATTTAACTATTTTTCTGTTGTCTCACAACGATGATTAAATGATTAGTGATTGTTGGCTTAAGAAATCTAATGCTGATGCAATTTGATAAAAGGCCATTTCTATTACAGAATGCAATGCTGGATTCATAGTTGCTTCTTAATAAATCCTGGTTTACTTACACTGCAAGTCCGAGGACATTGTTTACATCTAATCCTACAGTGTGTAACTGCAAGGTCATGGACATCTCCGGCCATTTCAATTGCCACCTGAGAGGGAGCCGTGGCATTCTGAGTCAGCCACCTGGACGCATTTCTGTCGCCCAAAGAAGGCTCAGGCCGCACGGGACTATGGAAATAACTATCATCAGTGATTTACAAATCCGTGCATGACAGGATTTCCCTGGGCTGTGTAAGGAAGCCGACTCCTTATAAAATCTGAACTTGGTGGCAAAGACAGAGAACTTGCATTTCTCGGTGTTTTGATCCAGGTTGCAGAAGGATCATATTATGAGGTTGTCATGCGGTTAGTAGACCTGGCTAACTTTTTAGGAGTTAATGTTAGATTTTCATTACATTCAGTCTCTTGCTTTTAAAAACGAATTGAATCTTGAGATGACTTCTAACAGGAGGCAAATATTACAATCACAATTAGGTTCTGCAACAGGAAATAAGTTCTAAATGAATGTTAACATTTCACTTGACACATTACTATGTTTAAGTGTATTAAAGATGTCATGGGAAGGTGCAGGGGAGGAAAATGAACTTGATTTGGCAGGTAGGTGTGTGTGTACTATTATCCCCACCTGTCTGCGCTGATCGACAGCGCACACATTATCTCCTAACAGGCATTGTACTCAGTTGCATCACATTTAAATGTATGGCTTATTTTTTTTTTTTTTTTACCGAATATTTGAAACTGTTTTAGTTAATAGTACTAATTGTGACCAGACCAATGTTGAGCCATGGTTACAGAGTGCTCAGAGGGTAATAAGCAAAACCAGGACGTTCTTACAGACCCTTGCTTCTTAGGCCTTTGGTCAGTGGTGCCAGGTCGCTGATGTGTGACAGACACGGACATGGAAGTGCAGGATTCAGGGGCATGAGGTCCCAGGGCCCCAAGGAGCTGAGCCGGAGCAGGAGCTCGGCTCACCCAGGACGGCACTCCCTGCTCATTCCATGGGACTGGCAGGAGCCCCGACCTTCTGCAGAACCCCTGCCTGCTGTCTCCCCCTAGAAAGCTGGTGCGGAGGCGTGCTTAGATTGCAAACAGCCTTGAAGCAAGGAATTCTACTCAGTATTTTCTTTTTGGAAAAACCAAACATGCTTTATTTCACTTTTTTCACAATTTATTTAAACATCTCACATATACAAAATAAGGTACATTTTTCCGTGTGTCCAAGAAATATGACTTCTTTGGAACCATGGAAGAGGAGGAAATGAAATCGGCAAAGAACAAACGCTGAGTTGAAGAAGAGGACCATTTTGGGCACAGATGATCTGCATATTCTTAATTAGGGGTCAGAGAGAAAACACTGCCGCTAAAGCCAATTGAAAAAACCACACAGCACAGCTCAGTACAGAGGAGTATTTCTTCTGAAGTTTTTCTAAGCACCAAACCGTTCTTCAAGTTGCTGAAATACTATTAGCACCTTTGTATCATGAAAAATCGGGCAAGTACCTCAGTTCCTCTTCTCTAGGCCGGCACGCAGCGCGGTGAGTGACACTCACGGGCAAGCATTCTGAGGTAGTTTAAACCTTTGGAAGTGTGGGTTTTAAACTTCCCTCTCTGGAAGATATTCAAAAGCCACAAGTGGTGCACATGTTCATGGTTTTTATTTTATTTTTCATTTTTTAAATTTTGATTTTCTTACAAAGGTTGACATTTTCCACAAACGGTATAAGAGTTTTGAAAAAAAAAAAATTCCAAATCTTGATGGGGGGGCGGGGTGAGGGAGAGAGTTCATGAAATCATATTGCACAATGCTCTGATCGATCCTGCTTCTATTTCGCCCACAATGTAAAGCAAGTACATGTGCAGAAGAAATGGAAGGATTCAGCTTAGTTCAACAAGAAAAAGAAGAAATGGCAAAGAGAGAATGGTATTTTTCAAATTTGATTTTTGTTTGTTTGTTTTTAATTTAGGTGGAGTTCACTTATTTGAAGCAGACCGGGCCAATGTCCACATAGAGTTCTTGGTCAGAACCACCAATGTCCAAAGGTGCGATGTCCAGGAAGGGCAAGCGGGACGGCTTGTTTGTTTTGTATTCAATGATTGTCTTTCCCCATTCGTTTGTCTTTTTCTGTTAAAAAGAGAAAAGAAAAAAGATAGATAAGGCAGCACTGTTTCAGTGTCGGAGAACATCTAACATCTAAAACTGGAGCTTTCTGAGTCACTTTTTGGTGCTTGTAGGTGCGTGCCAGATCAGTAAGATTGGTTTTGGATCAGAAGTATTGAGGCTTTCTTTAGGGGAAGGGACTCTCTCTAGCCTGATTTAAGAAAAAAAAAAAAAACACATCAAGACGTTTTCTAAGTGGTTCTTTTTCTATAGCATCATTTTCAGATTGGGGTATGTGAGTGAAACAGAGAGAGTGAGCTGGGTGGGTGTGCAATACTGTGATTGGGCGTTCGCTTTTTTTTCTATTAATAGTAGAAAATGTAGAGAATATGCTCTACAGTTTTCATTACAGGGAAAATGTAAGGAAACCACTACATTTAGGCCATAACAAAAAGAAAAACAAAATATCTACAACTATAAATTATAATTTAAGTCCTTCAAATCTCAAACAAGTTTCAAGTTCTAGGCATATAATATTATTTTAAGAAACTCACATTAAAGGAAAGGTAACCAGTGTGTAAACATATTATACATTTCAGTATTTCAGAGTATTCAAGAGGGAAAAAATTGGAATGAGAACACTCTGGGCTTATCATCTTGCATGTAAATAAATACAGAAATAAGTCAGGTCCCTTGTTCCTATAATGGCCTAAACTGGATCCACCACCTGCAGCTCCCCAGACAAAGGCAGCACTACTCACCGAGCAGCCATCCACAAGAACAGTGTAAGTGAACCTGCTGTTGCCCTCAGCAACAAGTTCAACATCGTTGGAGCCCTGCAGCATGACGGCCTTGTTCAGACTGCCAGTCTCCTCGTCCATGTACGCGATGCTGTTCTTGCAGTGGTAGGTGATGTTCTGAGAGGCGTGATTGGCCAGCAGGCGCATGAAGGCAAGTTGGGTGGCCATCTCCTTGGAGGTTACGCCTTCTGTGTTGTATTCAAACTGCAGAGAACGAGAAGGAATCACAATTAAGGGGAGAAGGACTCAAATACCAAGACTTGGTTGTTGTTGCTGCTTGTAATCTGTTATAGGGAAGCATGACAGACTGCAATCCATGCCTTAGGAAGAAGAAGATGCATTGATCTCTGAAGCACCAGAGACCTAGACGGACGCAAGTCCTGCTGGGCTAGGGCAAGGTCATCAACAACAGTAGCTGCTTCAGCCTGGCCTTTGTCTGCATCCTCCTTCTTCAAGAGTAAAGAGGCAGAGACCGAGATCTCTTTCTTTTTTCTCAAATTCTATGATCTGTTGATTTCCAGGAGGTATGCAATAAAATGAGTAAAAAGGTTTAATTAAAAATTCAGAAAAACTGCTCATGATCTGAAAACACATAGGCATAGGACTGGCATTCCTTCCCACTAAACGACATCTGCCTATTTCTCCAGCGAGTTTCCATTAAGTCCAATGCGAAAAGAAACTCGGAAGTATACGAATGTATCTCATCTAAGTTTTAATGTTCTGTCTAGGCCAAGTTCTTCAGGCATTTGTTGGCAAGGGATGAACATGTAGATAATGAGAAAGCCAACAACCCTAAGGAAACAGTGCTTGGTAGAAGGGGTAATGTCTACAGGACTCCTCACCTGCGTACCACCATTGATTTCTCCCAACCAGACATGCTTCTTGGGCTTGGAGTTCTTATACCAGTTCTTGACTGCGACACTGTCAGGCTGGGCTTGGATGCAGGTCTCCCCGGAGGAGAAATCACAATATACTTTGATGGCATCCATAGTGCAGCCTTGGTTAGGATCAATCCAGTAGTAACCTTTGAAGGAAATGAGGCACAGGTTGTGACACTTCCCAATGAGCAGAACAGCAGAACAAAAAAATGGAATAATCACTTGTAATTACTTGTTAAAAGGCTGCTTTCAGTTTTTGGGGATTTGATTGTACAGTTCTGCCTAACAGGACAGGGTGGCCACTCTCAGGATCAGTCAGTTCTTTCCCCTTCCTCATAAAAGGCAAATAAGGGTATTTACTACCATGAAAACTATAGAAGGGGCAGCCGTTAAGCCAGGTGGGTATGATGCTAGTTGAGACGCCATGTCCCACAAGGGGATGCCTAGGTTTGAGTCCATGTTCTTGGTAATGCACACCCTGGTAGGCAGAAGTGATGGCTCAAATGATTAAGTTCCCTGCCACCCATGTGGAAAACTCAGATCGAGTTTCCAGCTCCTGCACTTGGCCTAGGCCAGCTCTCACTATTACAATATTTGGAGAGTAAACCAGTAGAAAAGACTTATTTATTTGTCTTTTAGGGATTCTCCTACCCCCCCTCAACTTAAAAATTTAAGAAGACTATAAGGGAAGAAATGCATATTAAAAGAAATTTGAGAATGAGTGTCCTTTGGGAAAAAATATAACGTTGCATTAATTGGAAATTATTTCCTGCAATGTAATTTCCACTCATACATTTTCTTGTGAGCATCCATGGGAACTGATGTGGAGAAGCCTGTGAGAAGGATGAGTCTGGTTTGAGCATCTGAACCTACCACTGCTCCACTCGGGGTGGCTGAGTCTCAGATCGCGGCAGGTGCGAGCAGGGTTCTTCCGGGAGCCTTCAGGAGTGAGGAGGGTCTCAATCTGGTTGTTGAGAGATTTCAGAGTGGCATCAACTTCATAGTCCTTAGGTCTGAGAGAAGGCGGTGAGCGAGGCTGATCAGCCCTGTAGAAGTCTCCATCATAGCCGAAGTCATAACCACCACCGCTTGCACCAGGAGGACCAGGAGGGCCAGGGGGACCTGGAGGACCCTGCAGTCATGAAAAGCAGAGGGAGAGGCTCTGTGTTTGATCATAGTGAGAGATGTCAATGGCAGCAGGCTTTTGATTGAACTTCATAGCAAAGCATGTGCTAATAAGCAATGGTGAACCAAATTCATATGAATAAATAGCTTGCCCTGAGATCAATTGCAAGGATGAGCTTAAAAAGTCGATTATAGACAGTCTTCATACATTATTAGAAAATACACTGGAGCATGGCTTGCTCGAGCGTGCTGTCACAGTTGTCTTGCTATGATTTGAAGAAACTCCCTTAGCTTGGTGATGCTCTTTTATCATTTCCCTAAGTTATACTTACAGCAGGACCTTGGCTACCCTGGGAGCCTCGAACGCCAGCAGGTCCAACTGTGCCGGGATGTCCAGAGCGACCATCTTTACCAGCAGGGCCAGTGGGACCAGCAGGGCCCTAGGGAGGAAGGATGCCAAGCACATGTGAACCAGCAGAACCCTGTCAGGGAAGCCCCTCCAGTAGCCTGGGCTCCCTGCATGGGCAGCCATCCTTTCAGAAGGGCTCCAACTCTTGGCTTCACCTACCCTGGGACCAGCGGGACCCACAGCACCAGGAGCACCTTGGTCACCGTGTTGACCCTGTAAGGAGAGAACAGAGAATCACACTTTCAGAATGCTTGTCAACAATTTTTTTTTCAAATTGAATGGAAAACTTTAGTTTCAGTGGACTCCGAATTGATAAAATTGAAAATGTAAAGTGGAGCTCTTGTCTCCCATTATGTCTATGTTCAGTGATTTTTTTTCACAAGCCATTTCAGCAGTACAGTATTAGTCATTCCCCTAATTATGTTTATTTTCAGTGAGGTTGAAGGACATTGCTGCCAGGGGATTTTAATGTATGTTTAGTTCCATCTCCCTTAACCCTCTACTTTCCATGTTAGAATGGAAAAAAAAAACCAAAAAACAAAAAGCCCTCCCCTCTGAAGGATGGAAAGTTATCCAGAGAGTGGGATACGGCTGCGGGTGCTTTAGAACAGTAGTAGCACAGGCACCATGATCATGCTGAGGCCTAGAGGCTTTTGTGGTCAGCAAGCAGGTATGCTGGTAACTTTTTACTTACAGCGAGACCGGGAAGACCCTGCAAGCCATTGTGTCCCTTTAAGCCAGGCAGACCTCTGGGTCCCTTGTCACCAGGCTCTCCCTTGTCACCACGGATGCCTTGTGGGCCCTGTGAAGACATTGAAAATCAGCAGTCACTTTTCTGCAATCACTGCTTCACTCACTTACAAAGGGAAATGAAGAGACGGTCTAGATGGGCTCCCACCCCTCGACTTCAGTGGGGCTGCTGTAAAGCAGCAGTTAGGGTCCACGCCATTATTTAAAATCAACACATAGATCAAGTTGTGGGTGTCAGCTCTCAGTAAGTGCAAGTTTTTGAAAATATGAAGCTGAGGCTATGTCTCTGCTCCTTTCTTGATCAGTGGTTTGAAGAGATTCCCTTAACATTTAAGTTTGCAGATAAACCTTCCCCAGGTACATACACTAGGACCTCTGGGACCAGCAGCACCAACGGGACCAACAGAACCAGCAGGACCCTGCAGATGGGAGAAACAAAAGAAGAAAAAGGAAAACCACAGGTCATCAGCCATGCCCAAGCTCCGACTCCCAATAAGTCACAATGCAGAAAGAAGGTGGCATTAAAGGATGGCTTTATACACGTACAGGTTCACCACGGTTTCCATGTTTGCCAGTGGGGCCCACGGAGCCTTGAGGACCAGGAGCGCCTGCAGCACCAGCAGGGCCAGCGTTGCCAGGGTAACCACGCTCTCCCTACCAAAGGCAAAATGAAAAGTGAGCATCACTCTGGCTTCTATTTAATGACTTTCAAATTTACCGAAAGATGAAAAAGCATACTGACCTTGTGTCCAGGCTGACCATCACGACCTGGAGGACCGTCACTCCCAGGGTTGCCCTGTGAAGACACCATGCAAGTGAAGGCCCCTGGGAGAATGCTGCCCATGCCCTTATGTTTTGGCTATTCTGCCTTTACTCCTAGTGCTCAATAGTGAGATCCCTTCCAGATTGTTGTACAAAGCAGGGATGAGAACCTACTAGCCTAACCTTTACTTTAAAGGTGTTTTTAATATTTAGGTCCAGTACCAAACTGTGTTAGTTAAAAGTTCATTCTTCTACCGGATTTGTTTTCCTTATTTTCAATGCTGGGACTGATCCTCACATGTAGATGTGAAAACACATCTTGTTGAGAAACTTGGCATATGAGAACTTAGCTAAAAACACAAAGTAGTACACAACAAAACCCGGCTCAATTTTACTTTGTAAACTGAAGGTTGGACTCACATCACGACCCGCTTCACCAGGAGCGCCATTGACTCCAGGAGCGCCCACAGCACCGGGGGGTCCACGGGCACCAGGAGGACCTGCCAGGCCAAGAGGACCAGGTTCACCCTGTCAGGACAGAGAACACAAGACATTACTCTCCTGGGATGGAAGGCCAACCTCATCCTCCGCAAACAGCTGTAGCCCAGAGATCCGAGTTTGAAAAGCAAAGGAAAAGTGAGTATGAATGGACCAGAAAGTGGTAAGCATTTCATTACTGTCATAGCACACACCCAGAGGGTCAGCTTGGTGTAGTTTTGGAATGTTGCTGTGCTCAAGGCAGCCATAGTTTCCATCCAGCATTCCACAGGAAACAAATTCAATGAGGGTTGATAGAGTTTATGGAAGTGAAATGGTTCCTAGTTGCTGTCACGTTTAAGGTTTAATAGGTTGATTCAGAACTTTCCAGTTTCATTCTTCCTCCAGGAGAAAGGATGCCAGCCCAACATGAAATCATTGCAAAGGAGTAAATGCAATTAGAGCCTGTATCGTTAAGCATGTAGAAAGAACAAAACTCATTGTGCATAATGCTACGCTGCGTTTTTATAGTGTGTGTCTAAGTAAGGTGCTATTAAAGCTTCTGAGATAAGTGACATGTGATCTGTATAAAGAAAATGCCAGGAGTAAAAATCTTAAGTGGAGTTATTCAGTGATCAATCTGTCATATTTGAAGTGGCAACTTTTAAGATCTTTTATTATGATAATGAGAATCAGAATGGTGTCAAACACTTACCAAAGCTCCAGCCACGCCTGGGAGACCACGTTCACCTCTGGTACCAGGGAGACCCAGAATGCCAGGTGGACCAAGAAGACCCTGAGGACCTGGGGTTCCAGGGGGTCCCTAAATGAGAGGAGAAACACAGGGTAATGTAAGTCGGATGCCAGGGGAGAGAACACAGCTGGGGTTGAGCACGCGGAGGATGAGTGCCCTTGGTGTGACCTCTTGGAGGTCTGTCCCTGCATATCTTTTCTATAGTCACGGCAGTGAGGTTACATTTGGGCATGAAGAGATCTCTCTCTATATGTATAACTTCCTCCTTGAGACCCGTGGCATAGCATTTCAAAAATACATAACTGGGAATAATGGAGCCATGGTAAGGGTGAGGGAATGTAGAGGTTTTACCAAATCCATGCCAGGAAGCCAATTTTGATGTTGGCTTCTGCGGTCTGATACAGGAGTCTTTCAGTGGATGGAAAACGTGTGAATGAGGAAGGGGGCACCTTACTAAGACCTCCATTATGTGCTCCCTGAGCACCTGCTGCTGCCATAGCGCCTCCGTGCGGTCAGATCCCCTGGCTCAGCCAAGCTACACCTGAGAGTTTGCAAATGCCACTTGGAAATTTGTGTGGGGGTTTTATCTTAATAAAAAAGTATTTAAAAAAATTTGAAGTCACTTACAGCAGTACCAGGCTCTCCAGAAGGACCTTTCTCACCAGCAAAGCCAGGGGGGCCAGCTGCACCTGGTTCTCCAGTTCGGCCGACTGGACCTTGGTCACCACGAGGACCACGAAGGCCTTCTTTACCAGCAGCACCAGGAGGGCCAGGAGGGCCAGTGATACCCTGTGACAAAATGTACACGGTCATTCACATTCCGTATGTGGGTTCTAGATAGGAAGAGGCCAGCAATGTGAGTCAACAAAATAACAACATGGCCACTTTAGGGAAATGATTAGGCTATCAAAATTTTCTTTCTTATGGAAAGAACAAACCCCATTCTTACTTTGCCAGCACTATAACAAAGCAAATAACTGTGGCAGAGTCTAAGAAAATTTCTACAAGGAAAAGCAGTGCCTGCCACAGGTGTCCCAGCATGTTGGAATGAGAACTGAGTAGTTCTAAGACTGAACGGGACTTGGGGTTTTGTAGAATTCTGCCTATTGCCTTTCAAAGAAAGCCAGTCCTGGCATTTTGTTCATAATTGAGGAATCACATATGCTCTCAAGTAGGTTTAATTAAATGTCTACTGGGAATGAAGATTTTTGCATTATGAACCTGAGAAAGGATTCCAAGAAAGCAACAGTCTTGCCATTCTTCCTCCCTCCTCCAAAGCCTTAACCAGAAGACTTAATCCTTGATAATTAATTAAATTCTCTTGAGTCCTGACAGAAGAATCTGAAACAGAATTAAATTAGGGGCCCAACTACCTTTAAATTCAGGAACAATTATACCCTAACAACAGAGGCAAAATGTTAGCCATAAAGGGTAATTAGATATAGAAATATCTGATATGTGACTCAAACTGGTCAGCTCTTTGTTTTTAACAGTGAGTCCAACCCCTAAAGGGACCAGTGTTTGCAATGAAGAAGCCCTGTTAAACTGATGTTATAAAATATGATTTGTGATGGTTTTGCCTCAGTGGTTCAAAAAAAAACAAAACAAAAACAAACCATCTGATTATTAGACCAGGAAAGCAATAGTAAATATTACCAACTGTGTTTTCATCAAGAAATTCTTACCAGCTTCCTACTAGGGGCCAAAGTAAATGAAGGCAGAAGTGTGTAGTAATGTACTTACAGAGGGCCCAGGGGGTCCAGTCCGTCCAGCAGCACCAGGGAAACCAGTCATACCCTAAGAAGCAAGCATATTACAGTTCCAGCATCAACGCCACCTTCCTTTTCTCCCTTGGAAAATCTTCACTACACTGACCAGGGATGGGCCATAGAGTAGATAGTAGACAGCGTCACAGAGGGAATTCTGCCAGGTCCCTGAAGCTCTTCCTTCTCCATTCATTCCCTCTGCAGTTGCAATGCTCATAGTTTGCACTAAGGGTTTTTAGGTCCATTTTGAAATGCTAATATACTATCTGATCATTTTAGAATCAAGAGGATAAGATGCTGTGTCATTAGTCCACGTTAGCGTGTACACATAAATAATTCTTTCATGCTAAGGGCATTGATTACGTGAAGGTGTCTGCAGAGGGAGAGATGATGAGTAACCCAGAGAACACTGTCTTTGGAAGGAGTTAGAGGGATTCACCCTGGGAGGCTCTGTGTCTCCAGAATCAACGGGACATCTCTGAATGCAATGGGGGAGAACTTGTGCAGGAAAAGGCGGAAAGCAGAAGAAAGTTAGAGGGGTCTCGGGAAATGTTTTACCCACTGCCCAGTTTAAACAGCATGGTGATAACCTTCACTATTCCTGCAAAGGGAAGTGGTAGTAATATTGGCTGCGTGGTGGTCTAGCTGGGATTGAGGTCATATCCCATGTAGCTGACCTTAACCTCAACCAGAGCTGCACTAAAGCTTGAGTTTCCTCATCACAGTCCACATTTACCAGAACCTTGAAAAAACTTTCACATTCTCTCTAATAGATTCTGAAGAAAGAAAAGTGATTCAGGTCGGTGGTAAATACTCACAGGGGGGCCTCCATCACCACGACCTCCAACAGGACCAGGAGGGCCATTTGGACCCTGAAGGCGAACAAAAAGATGGGATAAAGTCACAAAACAACAGTTTTTACACATCCCACATTTCTCTTCCCGGGCATCATTTTCACATCTATCAAAAAAAAAAAAAAAAAAGAGATGATGGATGCCACATGAAAGAAACATTCTTGCTTCAGCATCACTGGGCTCTGTGGAGTTTTCAAACTATTACAGTAAGACAATATTAACAAAAACCTTACAAACTGTAAAATGGTGTACAAATGTTACATTCTTACTTTTTAAAAAAAAAAAAAAAGATTATATATTTTTGTTTTCTTGAAAGGCAGAGAGAGTGTTGTCCCACCTACTGGTTCACTCTACAAATGCCTTTAAGAGCAGGGATGGGGGCAGGCCAATGCCAGGAGCCAAGAACATAATTTGAATTTTCCATGTGCAGGGACCTAACTCCCTGAGCTATCACCCACTGCACTCCAAGATGGGCACAAATGGGATGCCAGAATCAGGAGCACAGCAGGGATCAAACCTAGGCACACACAGTGTGCCATTCCAGGTGTCTTCCCAACTGCTGTGCTGAACGCCTGCCTTGCTCCCAATTTTTGAAATCAGCTATCTGGTTCTTTCTCCAAGGCATAGCAAGCAAGTGACTGATGCTGCAGAATGATGAAATCTCTTGGACAACTACTACACAGGCTGGTAACTCGCAGTGAAATCAACTTACGGATGGGCCAGCCGCTCCAACAGGACCAGTGGGACCGACAACACCATTTTCACCCTTGGGACCTTTGGTTCCTCTCTCTCCTTTAGCACCAGGTTGACCAGCAGCACCCTTTTGGAAAGGAAGAATTATGGCTATGGTATTCTCACCCTATGCCCCCACCTGGGGAGGGACTTAGAGTAACCTCTGTAATGTGATACTTACAGCGGGACCGGCAAATCCATTCGGACCAGCAGGACCAACCTCACCACGTTCACCCTAGGAGGCAGGAAGGATTTAACATGCTTTAGTAATCCTAGGGTCGTCAGCATCTACGACGTATGAGGTGTGCCAGATTGACCCAGATTTCTACTTACAGGACTACCCCGAGGACCGGCAGGACCAGCAGGGCCAGCAGCACCAGCTTCACCCTATCGTGGGTTCAAAGACAGGTTGTTATTCACCTCACACAGATGCTCAAAGGACTGATTGGGAGAGAGAATGGTGGTAGATATTGGGGATGTTGTCAGAATTTGCAAATGACTTGGAAGGTGTAGCTAACGCACATCTCACAGAGGAAAATTAACTGAGCTCTCTCACTCTTCCTGCTGCATTCACTTGGGGGTTGAAGTGGTCTTGGCCGTGCACTCGCAAAAATACTATAAATCAGTGCCCTCAAAACTTGGAGAATGGAGGTGGGGACAGTTTTAATTTTTAGATAGATAAAGTTGATCTATTTGCTATAATCTTTGCAATGCAATAAATAAGATCTATTTGAAGTAGACTGTTTGATGTGAAGTGGGCACACTATGTATTTTTTTTTCCATTTTTCTTTTTACAGTTGAAGGCTTAGTGCATTAGGATATTGTTAATGAGCAACAGGGAAAGACTTTAAAACAAATGATAGGGAGTAACAATACAGATAAGATAGCTGGCACATCTATAGGAAGGGAAAGAACTTTAAACACACAGCATTTGTTTCCTGCTGCTTTATCACAACAGCTAGGTTCTTAAATAAGTGGGCTTTATATCAAGCCATAAAAACGAATTGTTGGAGCTATTTGAGTCTAGGGAGGGCAGGGGATTCTTGATAATGCTATCCGCTTCAAGAGATGCAGCTCAGTGAGAATGCACACTCACCCGATCACCAGTGGCTCCAGCAGGACCAGGGGCACCAACAGCACCAGGAGCACCCTACCCCGCAAAAGGAAACAAGCCTGATCAATTACATCCCACACCACCAACAGGAAACCTCGTCATTCTTATTTGCTGTATCTCTGAGAACACTGTTCCCGTCCACACTGATTTGAACACGAGGAATGACACTGATGCATTTCAGTTCAAACTATGGAGACTACTGGAAGCTCTTTTCCGGAGCACAGTGTCCCAAGAATAGAGGTGACCAAATGTGTAAGTTAAGGACAGGCTGGGAACTTGTGAACTCTGGACCCTCAGCTCCTGTAAACCCCTCTGGAGAAGCAGGGGTAGGCTGGTTTGGAGCTATTAAGAATCTCCTAATTCCAAGGAAGGAAGGTTCCAAAAGTGTTACACTGTGAGTACTCAGCTCCAGGGAGAGGATACTGATGCTGACAGCCAGGTAGGGTGATGATCCTGTTACCAGATTATGTCTGATATCTTCAGGGTATCAACAGCTTATCTTTGGGACTGCTTTTTGATAAATTCCCAGGGCAGCCATTTGTGTAACTCTAGGAACTTGTAAGGGTTTGGCTTTTTTGAAATGTAAAAGAATCATCCTCTGCGTGTATATTTATTCTTTAATACATGCTCTATTATCATTTAAAACAACCCCTGAACCCAGAGTTTTTGGTATGTATTTCATAGTTGGCATAGTTAATATTAAGGGACTCCAAACATGATTTTTTTTTTTTTTGGAAAACCTCAATTCAACTGGAATAAAATATAAAAACATAAAAGTTCACAAATAAAATTCTACTTACCCGAGCACCGTCTCTACCAGGGTTACCAACTTCACCTCTGAGTCCGGTTTCACCCTGAAAGTATAAAGTAAGAATGACTTTGTTTTCCAACCAAATTTCTGAATCAGCATTAATCCAAAATGTTCTACAGATGATAATATAATGCCGTTAGCCATTTAAGGTTTTTGGTAATGTCTTAGTTTCCTACCATTCAATTAATTGGATGTTGAATGTGGAGAGAAAATAAGAGAAGAATAATTCAAGGGCCCTTTCAGATTATTGTTAAACAGTTCTCCCCCACCCCCCCTAATTTCCATATGCCCTCCTGGAGCATAATCAAGCAAGGTACAAATTCATGTGGACAGAATTCTAAGGCAATATCACAATGGGCTGCTGTGCCTGCTCACTCTTACGGCATAACTAATGCAGCAGCACGGTTGACAGCTGTTCAATATAGCTTCTTCCCATTAATTAGGGCAGGATGAGGCATTATTGTTAGTGGCATTAAAATGAGCCTCATGCATTACTCAACACCATCTGTTTGTGTGAAATTCCACGGTAGCAAGGAATTTTGCCAGATTACTGAGTTCAGAAATGCGTAGGTGTGAGGTGGCACAGGGAAACGGATATAGATATCAAGATGCTCCCAGGACACCCGCCAACAGGTGTTAAAACCCTGGAACCTCTTGGGCTAGAGTTTGTCGACAGGAAGTATTATGGTCCAACACTTGAATGGGTACCTTTTCTCCCTTGCCTCCAGGAATGCCAGCAGCACCTCTCTCTCCTGGGAGGCCACCAGGCCCAGATGCACCAGCATTGCCCGGAGAGCACCAATAACAGCTCATGGGGCACACTGGTTGCTTTCAATTGGGTGATAGACCTGTCTTGGGCTGGGGAAATTAGTTGGGTTGCGTTTTTTGGTGGGTTTTGATTAAGAGGGTTGTTGGAATTGGGTAGGGTGGTATGGGGTTGTGTGAGGATGGAGGGACAGCGAGAAGGGTCTCAATTGTGGGAGTGGGTATTGGTAGGGGTGTTGGGCGGTGTGTAGTTTTTGGCGTGGTTGGTGTACGGGTTACGTTTGGGTTGTGCGTGATGGCGGAGGTGGGTATGGGGGGACGAATCAATGGACGAGGCTTGTAAAGAAAAACTGCTGCGAGGTAGAGAGTTAGTGAAATGACTGTGAACTGATAGTTAGGTACATGGTATCCGGGGGGCATGTTTGTTTATGGAGAAAACGATTTTGATGGGATTAGGCGTTTACCGGTCTCGCGAGAGGCTGGTGAAAGATGGTGGTTATAATGGGTTTTGTCCTACGTTTTATTGGGGGCCGAACGTTGGGGGGAGGGCGGTCTGAGGCCCGAGTTGTCCGGCGCCCATGTAGGTTGTTGATTGGTTGATGGGAGAGGCGTAGTGGAGTGTATAGCGGTTTTGGGGCCATCTCGGAACTGTCGTGCCTGTTTGTTTTTGTGACAGCCCCCCCCGCGGCCCCTGTCTCCCCTGTCCCTAACGCCCCTGCCGGATCTGTAGCTGGGTCCGCCGGGGAGCCTCTGGGGAAGAGAGGACGGGGCTGAGGGTGGGAACAATTGTTAGTGGACACGGGATCGCTCTGGGAATCGGGGCCCGGGGGGTAGGGCTTGTGGTAAACCTTGAAGGTTAACAAGCAGAGAAATATAAATACCCCTTTCTCACAAATATAATACAAAAATAAACAAAAACCTTTTCAAAACCAAGCCATAATTTCATATATGGAACACAAGTTTCAGACCTTAATTTTGGGCCCCCCCCCCCCCCCCCCCCCCCCCCCCCCCCCCCCCCCCCCCCCCCCCCGCAAATGTAGGGTCCAGTTAATTTTCATCAATTCTCACATCATACTTTTAAAAATCTTACTCTATAGGATGAGCAGTTGAGAAGGTAAAAAGTTGTTCTTTAGGAATAATGTCCAAAGGTGTATGATATTTGTAGGTCAAAACAAAAACATACACAGTGACAAAAGAAAGAGTTAAGGCCCATTCTAATTAACTTTTTATTTGAAGAACACTGAAATATTCTCTACCCCTGGTTTTCTTTTGGATAATTTTGGTCTTCTGGAATCTGATTACTATTTACTGTGGTGGCAATTGTCACAGAAGTGAAAATTAAAATATGAAAAATGATTCTTCCATTGCAAAGGGTAACTCATTATAGGGTAGTCTAGGTCAAACCTGCAATTCATACAAAGTTTTACCTTGTTTCCGTCAGGCCCTGGAGGTCCAGAAGGACCCCGGCTCCCAATAGGACCAGGAGGACCAGCAGCACCACTCTCTCCAGGAGGACCACGCTCCCCCTTGAAAAAGAGGAACAGAAGAAGCGTGGCAGTCATCATCACCTTCAGAGACACTTTGGGACACACATGACAGAGTTCACACTTGAGCATCTAGCGCCAGTTCTGCTACAGATTAGTAAGCAAAAATTTCTTCTATTCTCAATTTCTTATAAAATGGAGGGATGAGATGAGACAATTTCTGAAGTCTCACTCAGTTCTGATATTCTGAGCTCCAAAATTTGTTGTTTACAGACTACAACATCCAACTTTTGGAATTTACTTCCTTTGTTTTTCATTTCTGTGATAGGTCCATAGGTTTAAAAATCCATCAGTTCTACACAGTACTCGGCGGGAAGGACAGGTATTTCAGCTGACTGGCAAGGCCAGGAATAGAAGATTAGATTCCTGTTTAGGCTTCCTTTATTTAATTTCATGTAATAATAATGTAGCAGTAATGTTAAACCAAGGGTATATATGTGTATGTTACATATATACAATATATTTATATGTGTTTATTTATCTCTACTCATCTATCCATCTATCTAAACATCTACTGATTAAATCTAAATATCACAAGATCAGAGCATTCTACAGCCCAAAGTATTTATCAATAGATCTACATTGTGGTCATTTCTAAGGAATTTATTATAATTTGGTTTTATGGTACAATTGTTTTGTTGGACACTACATGTGTAACTGATGTGGTACGTACTATTAATATAATGGAAAATTTAGGAGAAAATTAATCATTTTGGTAATGCTGATATCCACAAATACAATCTATTGTATTCTTGTTTACAATTTTACACTCATGAATTCAGCTTTAAACTTAGGATATCCATGAACAATGTAAACATCGACTTTAGACATCAATAAAGATGCTATTGTTCTCCTTGACTCAGGCAAAACCACTGTCATAAATAATCCTACTTGTTCATGCAAATCACTGTCTGTAATAGGCATGTTAATCTATATGTGCTTCTTATGAGCACATTGCTAGTAAACAGGAAATATGAACAAGCAGGCAAAAAAGTCTACCATCAACTTAGACACCTAACACTTCCTACACATCACATTTATCTATGGAAGAATGTCAGGAACTTGACAGGGACATCATAAATGGCTTTAAGTGGAAAACATTACCAATTTAAAAAGACATTTCTGGAATCTTAGAAAAACTAATTAAACAGCACTTACTCTAGCACCAGCAGGACCAGGGAGGCCAAATTCACCAGGGAGACCCTAGGCAAAACGTGAGCATAAATGAAGCATGAGATCTCTAGATTCACTTAGGATTGTGATATTTGAAAGATTTTTCGAAGAGTGAAATAAAGCTGGGTAAGCTGTTAAGTGCACAGACTAATAAGAATAAAACTTTTGGTTGTGAATGGAAAAAAAAAAAAGAAAAAAAATCCCATTGCTATTCAGCCTAAAACCTGGTATCAGAATATTTAGGTTTCCCATGATTTCAGTCATTGCTTTTTAAAAAGTGACAAAACAGACTCTCCTTTAGTGATATGATAAACAACAATGAACAAAATCAGACATGGGCTATTCTTAGCTATCTAACAGACTGACTACTTAATAGAAATGATCACATTCTGTACGTTACCTAGTTAATTGTATACCCAAGTGTATCTCTTTCATTGCTGACCAGCTGTCTCCCTAATGTGCCCCACAGTTGACAAGAGAGGGCAGGCTACAGAATGTAACTAAATTGAAGCACATTCATCACAATTACAGAGAAAATGGCTCAGAACTCATGTCCTGATTGTGGAGAGCGGTGTCATGTCTGAATGCCAGGAAAAACATTAAAAGCAATTTTTCAGGGTCTGGTTTGATGGAAAATCAGCACATTTACTTTTTCACCATGGGAAAGAAAATAATTTGTGTTTTAATATCATCAAGAACAAAATAACAAAATAAGGCTATCACATGAAATATTCATTGGTGGATTTTTACTTCCACAATGCGGTGTTTCGTTCCATCCATGAACTCACAGTCTGTCCATCAACATCCACATTTGAAGGTGTTACCATCAATATTTGGACTCTGAAATTTTCTTTCATATAAGATTATTGCCCTGCTGTAGGGTCTTCAATAGGGGAAGTCTCAAGTTCAGATACATTTGCTCCCAGCTGCTTTACTTACCCTTTCTCCTGGCTTGCCAACCTCACCAGCTGGACCTGAGGGGCCAGGCAGACCCTAGATGAAAGAAATGCAAATCTCAGCCTCGTAGGCTATCTTCAGGGCATTTGAGAATAATCTGGGTGGGAATGAGGTCTTCTTCACATCAGCATGATGACTATTGCATGTCAGTCAAACATTATACACAGTTTGCTTGAAAAACTGCACCCTGCTTGCTGCAGTACCGAGCTCATGTCTGCAGGGCGGTGGAGGCATAGGGAATGATGGGAGAGCAAGATGAGCTGACCAAAAGCAATGTGCGCCACATTGTAGGGGACCTACCTGGAAGCCTGGGGGACCAGCAGGACCCTGTTCACCTTTTCCACCTTGCACACCCTGAAAGTGATGGGAAAGGCAACATAAACATCAAAGTAGGCCACTGGTGCTACTTAACTCTATAACATAGGGGCTCACAAAGAGAGATGGCTATTTTGCTGGCCAACAAGCCTCCTAGAGCAGGAGAACACGGACCTGGACTGAATACCCACCTGGGGTCCAGGAGGGCCCTGAGCACCATTGTTTCCGTCAGGACCTGGAGCACCCTAGAAAGGATTACCACAGAATCTCATGGTTATTACAACCCAGGCAGTTTAAGAATCATCAAAGTGTCTTTCGGGTCACTTCCTCATAACAAATGTATCATCTCAGCATGAATTGAACTGATCATGGGGTCTACTAACTTTATTTATTTTTATCTATTTGAGACACAGAGTTCCTGTCTACTGATGAACTCAGTCCTTGTGGGTGATACTGAGTCATGTTGTATTGCCTCCCGGGGTACACCTCAGCAGGATGCTGGACTCAAGCCTGAGGCCAGGACTTGAATGCAGGCACTCCAACACGGGATGCTGGCATCCCATGCTAGATCCTAAATGCCGTGCCACATGCCCACCCTGTCTAACTTTTGGTACAGCTCAGAGGAAGTCCATGGATAGAAGAAAACTTGTAAAGCCAGGAATGCTGCTGCTACATATTCATGCCCTTTTCATCACACAAAGAGTGCAATAAAAACCAAATGTTTCCATACATGTTTTTGACTTAACATATATTCTAATTTGTCATGGCTTACTGCCTTAAAAGTGTAGTTGAAAGAAAGATATTGTGTGATGGTAAAAGGACCTTTGGTGATGCCATCTCGGAAAGACCGTAATAGAATGGTAACCCGATGGTCTCCAGACATGAGCATTCCTCAGGTGACTAGATCTGTACAAAGCCGCACTCACCCGAGCACCAGCGAGACCGGGATGGCCCTTGTCACCACTTTTTCCAGGATCACCCTACAATAAAAATGAAAACTTCAAGAATAACAGTACAGTGAATGTCAAATTCTCTATTGGAATTTGGAAGTGTTCATATATTGCTTGCTTTTGAGATTCCTAGTTCTTCAATTCTGTTCTCTAAAGCACAGCCCAGCTATAGAGAAAAACTGCATCCGTGGATGTAGAAGCCAGTGTTTCGGCAGGCAAGAGTACACTGGAAGTGGTTTTTTTTGGTTTTTGGTTTTTTTTAAAAATGTATTTGAGAGCAGAGTGACAGAAAGAGAGGGAGAGAGAGAGAGAAAAGAGAGGCAGACTCCCATCTACCAGTTAACTCTCAAATGCCTGTAAATGCCAGGGTTGGCTCAGGCCGAAGCCAAGAGCTGGTAACTTAGTCCAAGTCTCTTTTCTGGGTGGTGGCAACCTGACCACCTGTGCCACCACCTACTGCCTCCCAGGCTGTACATGAAGCCGGAGTTGAGGAAAGATCCGGGACTCAACCGCAGGCCCTCTGAGCTGCGATGTGAGTGTCCCAACTGTTCTCTTGACTGCTAGGTCGAGGTAGAAGCTTTTAAATGGCCTGCAGGTCTGCTGCGTGAGGTAGACTGAATTTAGCAGCAGGGAGAAACATTAGAGTTTTGGTGAAGTGTGGCGCAAGTGTGCTGTGGAAGGGTAGTGGTGATGATTCTTACACTGGGGCCTTTGGGTCCAGGGAATCCGATGTTACCAGGCTCTCCTCTTGCTCCAGCGGGGCCAATTGGACCAGGTCTGCCATCAATACCAGGGAGGCCCTGAAATCAAGAGTTTAAAATTCACTCGGTGTCAACATGGTCTCTTAACCTCAAACCTAGGATGCTGCCATGGATGAAACAGGAAAGTTTTCTGCATGGAAGGAATCCATTTTCCTTTTGCATGTAGGATGTCAGGACACACGTAGCCAACGCAGTCTCGTGCGAGCAGCTTCCCCTCCTCCTCCCCTGCTTTTCCATACCCTTGTCACCTGCTTCTATTCCTCTGCTTTCAAGCCTGTGTTCATTTAGACTCTATAATTACTATTACTTGGCGTCCCTGGATGATGTATGTGGGTGATATTTATTTTTAATATATTCACATATAAACAAGCCACAAAATAGACCTGATAAGAGTACAATAAGTGCCCTTGAAATATAATGGAAAATGAGCAATACGTACCACAGGCCCTTCTTTGCCGGCTGGGCCAACGTTTCCAGGGGAGCCGGGAAGACCCTGTTTTAAAAAAAAAAAAAGGATGTTTTCACAATGCCTCTTCGACTCACACACTCGAGGCTCAAATGAATTGAAATATCACAAAAGCGCTTTCGCCCACATTCTGAGTGTTGCCTAGGGTAAAACATTAGGGATATTAGCTGCCAGGATGGATGCGTGAAAAGAGCTCTGAAATTTTTCTTCTTCCTATTTTTTTTTTTTGTGCTTTTTCTTTCTATTGAATGTTAGTGTAACTGACTTATTTACAGATATCCCAGGAAAGCATTAACCAACATACTATATGGGCAAAACGTGTCATGCTATTTACTTCATAATAGAAAAACTAATACTTTTAGTAAGCAATTTCCAAGGTGTATTTTTTTTATTGCTATATTTGCTGTCTCTATTACTTGTTTATGGTACAATTACAGTCGCTATTCACCCATAAGAGATAATGGAGGCAAGAAGAAATTACTCCATTGCTATGGATTAGAGTGCCTACAGAACCAAAGGTCCTTTCTCCATAGCTAGTGTGATGTGGAATACATTATAGCATTTTGTGATTGCTGAAAAAAACAGGCTTCACTTATGAATCTAATAAACTAATAATGTATAGCCCTAATACATTTCATGAACACCTTATATAAAATTCACAAATTAAGATATAAAAATTCATGCTGATAGAAGAGCCAGACGAATTTGGATATAATAAAATAGATCTATTCTCCCCAAAACTTCATAGTCATTTTATCAAATAACAAATAGGAAATATCTGAACTAACTAAATTTGTAAAAAATATCTCCTGGGCTTTGGTGAAATCAAATTAAAAAATACATGGTTAGCAGGCCTACTAACACATTTACTTTTTAGGCCGGTATTGTTATCGTCAGTCTGAACCAGTGCTTTAAGGAAGGAAGTTGTGACGATATGACCTGCTCAGAATGGGTCTGGAACTTACTCTGGGTCCCACGAGACCAGGCTCCCCAGGACGACCGGAATCTCCATTGGGGCCTCGGACTCCAGCAGGGCCAGTTGAACCACGGCTACCAGGAGGGCCCTGTTAGAACAGAGCAGGGTTACGGAGGAGGATGCTGTAGCCAGTGATAACAGGCAGCAACTGGAGTTATCTAGTCCCTGTGTAGGGCAGCTTACCATCACGCCAGCTCTGCCATCAGCACCGGGAAGACCGCGAGAACCAGGACTACCCTGCCAGGAAGCACAAGCAGCAGAAGGGAATTAGACCCTTGAAGCTGATGAGGCAGAGCTTATAAGAACCCAACATGATCTCCTGCGGGGGGGGAAATGCCGATACAAACTGGGCCAGAAACACCTCTCCCCACCCCCTGAGGAATGCCCAGTCGAATATCACATAAAAGTAGGTCAACAGGGTTTCCAGACCCATTTTGTAACATTCCAAATGGACAGTCACTGATTTCTCAAAATAGATGGGAAGCAGATGCTACCTTCATCCAGAAAAGGCACTGCACAACGTTGGACAACTCTGTGTCGGGTGTGAGGGTCGTGGAACTTACCCTCAGCCCGGGAGGTCCTGGGGGACCTGCAGAGCCAGGTTCTCCAGTGCTGCCTCTCTTTCCTTCTTCTCCACTGGGCCCAGGGGGACCTTGGGGACCAGCAGAACCCTGTTCAATGACAAGACCAAAGCAGAAGGAGGTAGAAAAATAAGTGTTATCTCCTATCCAGCTAAGGCCCTCTATTGGAATCATTGCAATGACTTAAATTTGTGATAATAGAGCTACTTACAGGCTCACCCTTGTTACCACTCTCTCCTTTGGAGCCGGCTGGACCAGGCTCACCCTAGGATACAACACAAAACAGTGGTCAAACAGCATGTGATTGGCAAGACTTCCCCGCAGACAAACGTCTCAGGACATTTATGGATCGAGATAGAGAACCTGGGCTCTCAAAGAAATGGGTCCAGTATATATATGGACATCTCCCAGGGAATGGGATAGTCTTGGTTGAAGGGACAAGACAGATGGTGTAGAACTTGCCCTGTTCATTTTTGAGTCAAGTTCTGAGATAGCAAGCATATATGTATGCACTTTCAGAAAAAAAAAAAAAATACAAGCTAAAAGTGTCAAAGAAGGAAAAAAAAGTAGGAATGGTAAAACCACAAGAGGAAGTCTAGACAGTGATATAATGACAACAGAGCTGGTAGCTCAGATGAGGAAAGCTCCAGCTGTGACCCACGACTTACAACAAGTCCTCGGGCACCAGTAGCACCAGCAGCACCCACAGGGCCTGGGAGACCACGAGGGCCAGGGAGACCAGGAGCCCCAGCGACACCAGGAAGGCCCTGTGAAGGGAAAGGCAGCATGGTCCATCACCAGGCACTCAGGATAAGGCCTCCACACCCCAGCCAGTCCGTTTCAGCCGCCCAGCTCTACTCACAGCTGCACCCTTAGCACCAGTAAGGCCGTTGGCTCCAGGGTTACCCTGAGAAAAGGGAAAGGAAAAGTTGTAACATTTTTGTTTTCAACCCCACTTTTCAGTTTTCTTGTTTCCTTTGTCCTCAGCCCCACTCCCCCCACCACTGCTGCCACTGTGTGTGTTTTCCTACTCAGTAAGGTTAACGACAACAAAGGCCACTTACAGGAGGTCCAACAGGGCCAGAAACGCCTGGAAGACCCACTTCACCACGGGGACCCGCAGGGCCAGAAGGGCCAGGGTTACCAACAGGTCCAATTTCACCCTGAAAGAGAAAATATCATGAAGGGATACACCAGCAGCAGGTGGAACAACATATTTTTGTTACTGGGACACCAAATTCTATCCCGAAATCTCTTCACAATGCAAGCATTTCCTCTATCTGATTTTTTTTTTTTTTTACAGATTTGTGGTTGATTTACTATTGGTCCTAGTCTGATCCTGCCATTTTGAGTTACTGCCCTGTCTGTCAGTAGCTGACTCTGGTCTTCAGCTCTGACTGATATCGGGGAGTAGCCCATAGAGACCTAGGCAATTAGTTTCTGTGCTCTCATCTGTATGTGGGCTCACAGTACACAAATGTAGGGAGAGGATCGATTTCAAAGATGCAGTGAGGGAGCTGGTTATTGTACTTCCATTTAGGAGGGGGTGACGAGTTAGGCTAACTGTCTAGCTGTAGCACAGGTCTGGTCTTTGGCATCATAGTGACAATGTCAGTTATATTTTTACCTTGGGACCAGGGGCACCTGGGAAGCCTGGGGGGCCAGCCGACCCAATGGGACCCTGGAAACAAAGCAGAAGGTGGTAAGAAATTTCCTCTAAAGAAATTAAGAAGACAACAACAACACACAAAATGGAAGTAGATTATAATTGCTTGATCTTTTTTGATATTGGCAAAGAAAAACCCTACCACCTAGTCCATTGATGTTAGGATATAATCAAAGGGAAGATATAGCTCCCTAGCTCCCGTCCTGTATTTTCAACCTCTTCCAAATGCTCCAGTAGGAAAAACTTACAGCAGGACCCACAGGACCAACACTGCCATCGCTGCCACGGGCTCCCTGTGAAGAAAATGAAGAGGAAGAGTCAAGTGAAAAATTCCATGTCAGTCATTGGGAAATCTTTAAAAAGATAAAAACGAACACCATCGGTTGCACTTACAGCTGGGCCAGGGGCACCAACACGTCCTCGCTCACCGGGAAGCCCCCGGGCTCCCTAGAAGCAGAAATATTTTCAATAAAATCCCAATGCTAATTGAAAAGAGTCACAGTTATGATCCACTTTATTCAATTTCTGACATGCACAGGAACCTACTAACAATAAATAGGTCTTATTCTACTACCTACTAAAAATAGTGGATTTCAGTTCAGTATGCAGAAGACCATTACAACAATATCAGAGAATACAATGCCAAAAGGAAATAGCCATTGGTAAAAATGTTAGACATTCCACTCACAAAGAGTATACACACTTAGATTCACACCGAGGTTAACAAATACTTACTGTTTGACCTGGAGTTCCGTTTTCACCAGGGGCACCTGGTTCACCCTACATGATGAAAGGAGATTGAGTTCAGTTCATTGTACTTATTGGTCATTGTTTCTCATTGAAAAGTTCTCACCCTGTTATTTCAATGTGAACTATGCATATATTTGGTAAGAATTCTTACATGGATAGATAGTTTCTCAATTCTACCAGATACCTAATTTTAATTTAATTGCTGAAGTTTAAGTTTTTGTTTAGGTGATACCAAATACCAAGATCCTAAGGATATGAGATTATTTGAGAACACCTTTCCTCACTGCTCATGCCCTTTTGCTTATGATGTCATTTAGACTAAGTTTATCTATCAAAATACTTCACACATTGATGAAAATATGGATTTAAAAGGTAAGTTTATTTTTGATGCAAAAATTATTTGAAACCCATGCATAGCTTTTTTTTCACAGAATGCATTTCTACTTCTTTGAAAAATTTTGAAGCAACCTCACATTAGAAGTAATATCAAAAAGGGATGGCAAAAGGTAAATTTGCCTTCAATCTAACCATATGTACCTTATTTAAAGTTATTTAGAACATCAAGTGTTTTCATTTATGTAAAATATAGATGAGAAATTGAAGCTTCATAATATTTTTAGAGCTATTGGATTTATTTCCTATTTTTATTCTTATTCTGAGTGCCCAACAATCCTAGCACTCGGGTAATTCAACATAATGGCACAAATGTAGAAGAACTTTCCTGTAAGATAATCTGATTTAGAAACAGAAGAAACATGGGTTAACAGAACATACAAAAACCCTTCGTTATTTCTAGGATTCAATGTCCAGCGTAAGTGAAGATGCCTAGACTAGGCCATTCCAACCACTGTTTGTGCGACTTTGGGGAAGTCCTGGGCTCTTGCTAAGCCTCAGTTTCCCTCCTTGGCAACATGAAGGTGCCTCCTGGCAGTGCTACCATTGTATGATGCAGTGATTAGCAATCTGAGCCATTCTATCGGGCTCTTGCGGGAATGAGTTTGACCTTATCCATTTGTGTGGCAGCTGGAAAGTTAGAATAGATTCTCCATGTTCATGTTCATTTTTGGTCTCACTAGTATTCGTTACTCATTAATTTGTAATTACGTTGGTATTCACTTTAATATCACATTATCTCCTTAATAGGAAAGAGAACATTTCATAGTTGAAAATGCTGTCAGAGAAGAGCCAGGCCAAGAGATAACGCAATTCTGAGACTTTAATTACCTAATTAAAAATGTTTTGAGTGTGTGCAGATAGATCACAGGAAAGAGGTTGAAAAGTATATTGTGACATGAAACTACCTATCTCATTAGTGCATGGCAAAGGAGAATTTACAGTTTAAAATAATATATAGTGTTCTCATGTCTCATTTTATGTTTACTTTTATTTTGGCTGCAGAGATCAACTAAATTGTAAAAGGATGAAAGGAAGTGGAGGAAGAAACTACTGGCTTTTTAACGAAAACATTTCAATTGTCTAATAGAGAACTAAATAATAATTGGCGTTTTATCCCAGGCTACCATAGCCTCCAACCATTGAAAGATTCGAAGTACAGAAGAAGAAGGTTAGAATGTGGGCAGATTTCAGAAATAAAATATATCCTTTTGACGGTGATGTGGAATTTAGGTTTTACCTTCACACCAGGAGCACCAGGCTGTCCTTTCAATCCATCCAGACCATTGTGTCCCTGCAAGGCAATCGTTTTTTGTTAAAATGTGATCCCATTGTAGAGGCTGGTCAAATCTAAATCTTCCTTCCTTGTAATTAATAGCTCTAGGCTAAAGCTTGCCATTGATTCAGGCTCCTGTGCCACCCCAGGTAAGCCACTTTCTCCTCTGCACTTGGGACAGGGTCTTTTCCGTTCTTTGCAATTTCTCAATTTTCAGAGGCTGATAAGCACTCCTTAAGTAATAAACCTTCCATAGGATTTTTGCCATGGCAACCCTGGTTCTTGGTGGTGACTCCCAGACAGAAGAAAACTACAGCCCACTTTGCTTTCAAGCAGGCTTTCTCTTTAACTCTCTCTCCCCTTTGGCAAACTCCAGGAATACAGGAGTGAGGATGTGCCACCCTGGCATTTCAACGCAGTTGGCTTTTCTCCCTACCACCCCCCAGATCATCATTTCCTTCTCTGGGTAATGAACATGCTTACCCTGATGCCCTTGAAGCCAGGAAGTCCAGGAGTTCCAGGGAAGCCACGAGCACCCTTGGAGAGAAACACACATGCAGGTGAATAAGGCTCTGACAGCGAACAGAAGGCAAGGCGTTCCTACTTCCACAGTATGTCCAAGCTTGGGATCAAAAACCAGTGCAAGAGGGGCTTCAAGCTACTCAGACAAATGGAATTATGAAACAATGTGAACTTTGGGTGAACTTTTTGAGTGCCTTTCATATTATTCAGCACAGAGCCACAAATAATTTTGCTCTGGGATGAATAACCTGCACTGTAGTATTTGCAGAAAACACCCTATTTTTTGTTGTTTATCGCAACTGTCGTGTATTTTCCATTATTTGCATTAAGAAAAATATATGCAATTCTTTGCAGGGTTCCTTGTCCAATGTCTTTGCTTAGCATTGCAATTGGCAGTGATTTCTAGCTTGATATGACGGTTGTCTTATATCTTAGCACCTGTCATGTATCTGAAGGCTTCTGAGGTTTGGGCTGTATGGTAAAAAGCCTCACCTGTGGTCCCATGATTCCTCTCTCACCAGGTCTTCCGGGTTTTCCAGGGTGACCCTAAAATATGAAGGCGTTGTAGGGGAGGGTTAACATTTCTTGGTAAACTGTCAGACAAAAAACTAGGGACATTTTGGTTTTTCCAAGACAGGAGGAAAATATCACATAAAAGTGTAGATTTCACTATAATTTAATTAATAATTGTATTCCCCTAAAGACAAGCCAATTAATTAACATATCATTAAAATAATATTTTCCATATGGGGAGAATTATGTCAGGCTTATTCAGCTTTTGGCAGAGCTTTAAGTAGGATCTAAAAATTCTTGTCGGGGCAGGGGCGTGTAAATCGTAATGTGGAAGTGCTGAAAAATCAACACTTACATCCTCTCCAGCCTTGCCAGGGGCTCCAGGTGGACCGCGGGCTCCTGCGGGGCCCTAAGAAAGTGGCAGACACATGATTTTGTTAAGGCTGAGTTCACACACTTACCGACGTACACTAGTCATTGCAAAGAGGTGTGGGAAGGATTCGAACTTACAGTCTGACCAGGTTCGCCAGGCTCTCCAGCAGGTCCTTGGAAACCTTGGGGTCCCTAAGAGGGAAAAACATGTCATGCTCCCAGCCTTTAAATGCTCTTCTTATACAGGACAGACTAAAAGTATTTGGTACTTACAGGGGCTCCAGCTGCACCAGGAGGGCCTCTGGGTCCCATTAAACCCTGTGGAAAGGGCAGATCTGGTTAGCAAGGATAAGTCGTCATGGCCGTATTTGGGTTAACCAGGACTAGCTCAGCAGTGTTCTAGACACTCTCTGAGGGACAGATGAACAGCATGACCCTGGCTTTATTTCATACTTTCCACCTCTCCCAAGGAAGCATCTATGAGCCCAAGCTCCCTTTACAATTTCATCTCTTTTGCTTTTCCTTATATCTTGCATCATAAACCCCCAAATTCCAACAAACTGGTTGGAGGCCTGGGAGGTCAGAGGTGCTTTACAGCTGTGCACACGTGGTCATACTGAGTGTGCACTTCTGTGGTTAAGCATGGCTGTCTGCACAAGCGCAGGACATCCCACCCTGCCCTGCAGCTGAGAAATGTTTTAGTGGCTCCCCAGTTCCTAAGGCAGCTTGCCAGGTCGTTCTTAGCTAAGAAACTGATATTTTTTTATTGCCACAATGCATATTAATTGAAGAGGACCCAAAGTCCTTCTTAATAATTAGAGGAAGGTTGATTATAACCTCTTAGCTCTTTTAAGGGTGGTTAGTAGAAACAAACAAACCAAAAAAGTGGATGTAATGAAGGGTAAAGGAAATATAAAATACTGAAATGTCCTATGGCTGAATCTATTCTATGATATTATTATTGAAAGATGGTCCAAATAACAGCTGCCATTTCCTTTGTTTTTCATGTTGTAATAAAAACAAAAGGACAAATAGACAATGGCTGTTCTGTGAGCTTGACATTGGACTTCCTGTTTGCAGTATCCTGTGCCTGTAGTTGGCTCATCTGTAGGGGCTGTTCCTTGTCACACTGACAGGATTTCAAATGCGTCTTGGAGCGATTTGTTTATGACAAGTTTGCTTAGTCAAGCCTACCCCCACCGCATTAATGCCTAGAGTAAAAATAATTTAATTACTTCTATTTATAATGCCCATCATCTTAGTGATAAGAATTACTTATTTTTAGAGATGGCTTTGACAAGAAAAGAAGCTGCCCCCTTTTCAAGTAAAATAAATGCTTAGGTGCACATTAGAATAATTTTTGTTGACACCTTACATTTTTAATTATATTTATTCATTTTCCCCATGTATTTGCAAGAGTTTCATTTGCATACCAGATAGTTTATTTTGTGGAGGCTGCGAGATAGAGGATGATTACTCATTAATTCAAGAAAGAGCCCTGTGGGGCTTCAGGGTTATTGATTTCCCTACATGGATAATTTTTTTCACACTGTTGCCGCATGTCTTCCCTGCTTGTGAAGCACATACGTGTGTGGATGTGTATGAATGTGTAAGTCTAAACACTGACCCCTAAACGTGAACTCTGCTTGATGACCCCATTGGAGATGTCCCAAAGAGGTGGCCATCTGAAATCCATATTAATTTTTCTCAGTTAATGTGGAATTTTTTTTTAAAAAAATGACATTTACTGGCACCTTGCCTGGCCCCATACTCTCTGCTCCATTCTGCTTCTTCTTGGGAGGTGAACACTGCTTCAACATTGACTAATGGCCAGCAGTAGCTGAAACAGCAAACTCCAAATTTCCACTATAAACAAAGCCAAAAGAAAGACTCTACTTTTTCATTCCAGATATGAACATTTAAAATTACCTGGAAAAAAGTCAGGAAATTGGAAATCATCAATTAAAGGTGCATTACTTCTCGAGTGAGAGTTTTAATTTACAGAAAATATTATCTTGCCCTTCTAGTGTATTAGTTTATCGCACACCATTAGCTCCAGCAGCATATCCTCTTGAGAAGATGGAGCACAGGTGAAAGTTTATATTTTAAATATCACAATGTGTTTGGGCAGAAAAATATCATTTTGGGGGAATAATTAATTAGCATCACCAAACTGTTTAAATGTGTATATGTGCATTTATAGAACTTCATCTATCTTATGCTTTTACTTCTGCCATTTTTTCCTCCATCCCACATGTATGAGAATACATTTTACATGTTCCTAAGAGCTTTTTATTCCCCCCCTCAACACATCTCACTAATGCTGGTTGGAAGCTTCATTTGTTCAATAAGCTATCATCATCATCATCAGAGCATGCCTATCGATCAATATCAGATATCTGGCCTGATGATGAGTTCTAGTTCTGTCACCAACTACATGTACAATGTTGGGAAAATGACTTAAATTCTTCAACTATAAAATGAGAAGGTGGAACCAGATAAAGGGTTCTATCTCTTAAGTATCGCTTAGAATTCTGAGCCAGGTAAAAAGGATACAAAAATTCAATCAGAATATTATCCTTTTGAATTAAATTGATAAACTTGGTTTAAGGTTAGTGCATGACACTGTAAAATGTAAGAGCAAATAAAATCACTGCCTACTATAGTTTTGGACTAAATAGAAAGAAATAAGCATACCATTGGTCCTGGGCCCATTCCAACTCCTTTTCCATCATACTGAGCAGCAAAGTTCTAAAGAGATAAACAAACCATCATCAGTCTGATTAGTAACAATGTGGTTCATGTTCTCATCTGACTGCACGTAAAGACTGTTCTATTGCTACCTAAAAGAGAGCTGTGTTTCTGATAGAATCGTCTGGTATCACATGAAATTCCAGAGAAGTCGGGGAAAGGTGAGTTTACATGTGAGCTTGTACCCAGCTTGATGGACAGAGCATTCCTGCTTGATTCCTCGGTCTCCACTGCCCTGCTGTGTCTGTCCCTCCCGTCCCATCCGATGCCACCTTTATTTTGAGGAAGGGATGTTCACTGGGCTTTTGCAGCCATTGAGAGTCCCTGACCAAACAATCAGGCTGAGATCAAGAGGAGAACATTGTATTGGCTCCTGTTGCCTTTTCTCCCTAGAACCATACAAGGGGACTTGGGACCTTTTTCTTGTTGAAGTATCAGAAAGGACATGGGGATTTTTCAGGTTTAGAGAAAATTGAAATTAAAATGCCCCCCCCCGAAGATTAAACTTTTTAGAAAAGAGTTTGCAGTAATAACTTTACTGTTAAAGATCTCTCTTATAGTGGTGGCTCTATTAAAGAAGGTGCCTTTTAATGCACTCGGTAGATAAGCAATCATAATAAGATCTTTGGGGGAGAAAGGTCTTATTTTTCTGGCATACAGTTGGCTATGAGAATCGGCCTCTGATTCACAGTGCTAACCAATTAAGCAAATATGTTTTCCTTCCTGCAGAGTGAGGTCATTTGGCACTCATACCATTGTTAAAGGCATAAAGCTAAAAGAAGATATTAATGAAAAAGGGAAATGTACTTTTCTCAAATTAGTTTCAAGCAAATTAAATGTAGAACTGCTTTGAATGTTGGTTCAGCAGACTTCAAGCCAAGGAGAATAAAAAGGATAGGATGTTTGCGAAATTGCTTAAGATCACTTATGTAGTTCAATCTAATCAAACTCATTAATAATGCAACACCTCTTATTTGTACCTTATTGATAAAATATATTAAATTCCCAAATTAAATAATGGTGCTGATGGCAGCATCCTTCAGTATACAAAGATTGGTCCTGGATTTGACAGGGGCTCACAAAGACAACTGGCGAAACAGATTTTTGAGTGGAGAAACCAAAGAAATGAAACAAAATATAGTTTTCAGTAGCAAATTTCTCCCCGTAATAGTTAAAAATCACACTCCACAGAGTGCATTCTCTTCCAATAGAAGTATAAGAAACGAGGGCTGTTAAAAGTTAGCAGCACTTGAAATGTCTTACCCCGCCGAGACCAGGGGGGCCGGGAGGACCAGGTGGGCCAGCAGGTCCAGGGGCACCATCTTCACCATCTCTGCCTGGGGGGCCTGGTGGACCCTGCGATGCAGAATATGAGTTAGGAAAGGGTGAGATATTCCCTGTAGAAACTGTTACCACATATGGAAAAGAGACCTAAGAATAAAGGATGCAATAACAGTTGTTCAGATCTTGCAGTGTGCAAGGAGGGTAGAAGTTTAATATGAAAATATTTGCCATTGGTTGAAATTCACTCAAAGCATGCATCTAGTTATAAAGAACATGTGGTAACAAATGTTTGAAGATGACTCAGACTGGTCTTCTTAGAGAAATATCGCAGTCATTGAATATGAATTTGTAATGGAGCTCCAGTATTCAAATAAAGGTAGTAATTACAGTTATGCTTTGTAATTCAATGAACTTTGTGTATTTCACAATGCTCAATGATATTGATCCTGTGTGTTGGTTGCTGATTTGATGAACTTACTCAGTTATTTTGATGTGTTGTATGTGAATAGTGTATTATTTGATATGACAATTAGTAAGGTCATTTTATCACATGCTGGAAAATCCTGTATGTTTCCTGCCATTAACACTATTTGGGTTGTTAAAATAATTAACTGCTGGACTCTGCTATTTTCCATACCTACAATGTCAGGATATATTTAAATGGTGGAATGATGGACTTATGACTATTCATTAAGGACAATGCATTAAAACAATAAAGGAGAAGTCAGTGGTGGGGGAGGGGACTCGGGAGAGGGGAAGTCCCAGACCCTACGGGACTGTATCATAAAATTTTAAAAAATAATAAAATAAACGAAACTGCCTTATAAAAATAACTGACTGATAAAATTCCACTCTGATAAACTGAGTGGAAAAGATCTAAGTCTGTAAGTCACAACAGACTTAAGACACCCAAGTTGATATGTTGGCAAAAGTTGTACATAATATAGGACTATAGTGTAAGTGCCAAATGAAACAGGGTGATCTAAGAATTACATGAACAAAATGTAGGTCTGACTTGCATACATATAAAATTATATATAGAAACATGTCAACAATTACTGTTTCACTATTATCCCTGAGATATACTAAGAAATCTGACTTCAAAATGGAACAAAACGCATTACACAGTCCTTTGTGGGAGCAGATGGAGTCATTCCTATTAACTAGCTATATGTTGAAACCAAAGAATATGTATATTGACAATAGTTTCTTCTTAACAGATAATTTTGTGTTGATTATATATAATAATGTTGATTTTCATAATAATGCCTTTGCACCTCATTTGTGTATATTATTTGTTTATAAGGTGGTGCAATTATCTGGATACATAATATTCTTACAAATTGTTAGTCTCCTGCAGTTTATAATACACATTTATTCAAATATGAACCAAAACCTGAGAGCAGTTAAAAAATTACACACCCTTTCTCCACGTGGTCCTCTATCTCCAGCTGGGCCCTACACGGAAGACACAAACAGCATGATGATGGATGTCTCAGTAATTTCCAACGAGCAAGCAAACCATCCTTGATAACAATTAGGTTGAGAAGACTGATCAAACCGCAATGTCACTACGTAATAGTGAAACGTTGGCGAGAAACTATACGTACATATAGTATTTTTATTATAAAACATTTACGTTTTTATAAACTGGAGAATTGGAAGCTGTTCCCAGCCAATTGGCCAGGATTACACATAGCATTTTTACTAAGACGATGACTATAGAATGAATGGCCATTTTGCCACCTCTTAACAGCCCCGTTATATCAACAAAGACCTTAAAAATAAAGTCACTTGCTACCGACAACTTGCATAAAATACATTCCTTCTCCAGAATAAGTCTATCATTTCTCTAGTGTATAAATCAGTTTTTGCATAATATAAATGTAATTAGAGATAATTATGGAAGATAATAAAGCTTGTTATCTCAAACCATTTATGGTTTAACTAATACATATTCATGTGGGCAAAATCTTAACAAAATATTTTCTTTCTATAGTTAGATAAAAGTTTATTCAAAGTATAAGTTATCTTTGATAATTTCAGGTATTTATCAGAAGTATTGCATTCTTACCTTTCTTACCGTTTCCTAGGGAAAAAAAAAAGGAAATGTTATAAGTACAATTCATACGTATGTGTGTGTGAGAGAGAGACTCCAGTTTTGGTGCAGTATACATCAAATATTACAAAATGCAAAGTAAGATTTTACTAGTATGCCAAATCAAATGTTATAGACAGAACGAAATCTATATACTTATTTGTAACTCTGTCCCAAATTCAATGCATGAGGCAAAAAAAAAAAAAGTCTGTTTACAATGTTTAGCAAATGATTCTAAGGGAGTACCAAGATTCTCTTAGCTCAGTGAATTTTTAAAATTCCCCCTAGGTTAGTTACTCTGTTGGTAATGGTGTTTAATGAGGGGAATCTCAGCAATGGCTTTGTTTTTTGGGGGTGGGTACTCTCTAGAGCAGCCTGGAAGGTTCCATGGCTTCACCATTGTCTTTGTTGGTTAATGTCAACACGGCCTCTCCTTCCCCCCACCCAGAGTAAGTATCACTGTGACTGAGGATTCAGTGTATATATGGAAGAATTACAAAAATGATTTTACTCACCTCTTGTAAAGCTGTAGTAAAAGAAGAAAGTATGAGATAATTATTAACATTTCTGTCATTTTGTTCATCAACAATAATAACTAGCAGACACACAAGTTTCAAAAATTGAGTTATCCTAATTATAGGTCTAATTACATTTCTATTAATATTCCAGTTATTTAGATATTATGCAGGTCAAAAGGAAAAAAAGGGACCAGGGTGATCTGTCTGCAATATTAATATGTAAATATATTTTGAATTAAAATGTTAATTATTTACAACTTGATAAATGTAAAACATTAATGTGTCTGAAGCAAATTTCTAATGCTTAGCAATCAAACTGGCAAACTGCATGGAAGAACTGGTGAATCTTAGGCAAACCCAGAAGAATCATGGAGAACTAAGTTGTGGTTTAGGTTATTCTTAAATACCGGAAAGTCTGAAAAATGGAAAATGTAGGAAAGTATTTTGCCCCAAGCAACTTTGGTTTCTTTAGAAAACCTTGAAGTTACTTGGTACTTCATTGAGTTTGTGCCATTCCTGATACATTCTTTTTAAAAGATCCAATTTGCACATGAGAAAATGGACTAATCAAGACATCCTGTTTTTTTTTTAATTAGTTTGCTTACGCAAGGTGAGATAATTTTACCAATACACATCAATGTGGTCCCTGAGGAAGAACTGCTTTGTACAAAAGGACAAACTGTGGATTAAAAACGTTGAAAACTAAAGGGAAAAGTAAGGTAATATCCCTTCTTTGCCATAATTGCTATTATAAATTCTTGAAGACTGAATTGCTCTCCTATGGTATAAAAATTACAGGTTAACACAGGATGCAAGCGTGGCCAAGTTTGCCATGGGATGAATCACTCCTAAAAATTGCTTCAAGTGGGCGGCCAAGACACGTGTCACTTAAATGGGGACATCTGTTGCACCACTCAGTTGAGGAGAATGGACCGCATCCAGTGCTGACATGGAAGGGCACTTTATGAGAGTCACTGCTAAAGCAGAAAAACGACACGCTTACTCCATTGTGCCCACCAGTGGGGAGGATAATTATGGCCGACTGCATGGATGGAGGGCCTCAAGATTTCGGAAATCTGCCTCCTAATTATCCCCAACGTCAGTCGCTATGGAAGAATATGTGTAGGGTAACGTCCTCTGAGCTGCCATGGGCTGCTGGTCAAGGGAGTTGAGTTTGCGTCCTCTAAGAACCCTGATCTGTGTTCCTTGTTTTCTCTAGCAGCCAATCTTTCCTTCCCACCCGCAGGTCTCATTAAGAAAACACAAATACAGGAGCTGGCAGTGTGGATTTGTCCAGTGCTGCATCTGCTTGGTACCCACAAGGTGCACACTGGCAGTGGGTGAAGATGTCCGGAGTTACAGAGGTGGACACGTTGCAGTGGGGTGGGGTGAGCTGGTGGGAGATTGGGTGTGGCTCAAGGCTCCTCCTTCCCTCACCCATTCTCACCCAGCATCGAGTCATTGTCTTTGTCCACTAAGTTTGAGGAGAAAACAGACCCGTTTTGATCCTCCCATCCCGATTTGGACGTCTGCCCATAAAATCGAGGGAGGCCTGGGGTTGTCCGTCTGCTGCCTCTCAGTGGGACTCACCCAAGGTGACAGGTCACCTTTTGGGCAAGATCATAGGGGACATCCGTTAGTGTCCCTTGTCTTCAGTCAGCGCCGACACCCATGGGTGCAGTGCGGGGGGAGGGTAAGCTGCAAGTGGAGCCCAAGGCAATGAAACAGTGTTGCCACTCCCGTGGTCACACGGCGGGTGCAGGAGCTGACCGTATGTCTGGGAACGTCCACCTTCCTGCCCGAGAGGCCCTGCCCTGCCTTGGGGTGTGTGGGGGATGCAGTCAGAGGTGTAGACCCTCCTGACTCCAAGCACAGCCCTGGAGGCTTCCGGGGCCCCAGCCGCTCCGGGCCTGGCGCCCTGCACCTTCCCGTCCCGCCCTCCAGAGGGCGCCTTGGAGTCAGCCGCCTCCCTCTGCGCCGCCTCCACCCTGCAGGCCCGCCGAGCGCGCCCTGAGAGAAAAAAACTCTGAGGGGGTGAGTTTGTCGTCATTACACGAAAGGGGTCACCAACGCCGACCTCGAGAGCCACAGGGTGGGCGTCGGCGCCGCCCAGGGGGCGCGGGGCCTCGACTTCCCTCCCTGCGGCCTCCTAGCCGCCCTAGCTCGGGGATCCCAGACGGAGTTCCACTGAGGGGAAAGAAAGTTCCCTGACTTTTATTAACGTCTGTGTGTGTGTGTGTGTGTGTGTGTGTGTGTGTGTGTGGAGGGGGGAGGTCGAGTCTTTGGGGTCTTCACCCCTCGAGGCCCCTGGCACGTTTCCGGTCGGTGGCCAGGGGCGACAGCCTTCCCTCCCCGCCGGGCCCACCCCGCGCCCGCGTCCCTGCCTCCCCCGGCCGGGCCACTTACACTGGCAGGTTGCTAGGCACGACGCCGCTGCGAGCAGCAGCAGGGTCCGCGTGTCCACAAAGCTGAGCATGTCTAGGCGTTAGACATGCAGACTCCTTGTGCTGCACACTCGGGCCCCGGGTCGGCGGCGATCCCCTGGCGGCCGCGGTCACACAGTCGTGGCCGCTACCTCCGGCTTGTCCGAGACCTCCCGCCGCAGTGGTGCTAAAACGATAAAGCCCCGCTCTGCTCTATTTATACGGCAAAAGTTTGCCTGGCCCGAGGGTGCCTCCAAAAGCGCTTCCACCAATGGGAGGGCTGGGGCCGGGGGCCCGGGCGGCCACGCTGGGAGGAGACTGCGGGGGCGCGGAGGAGGGAGCGCGAGGAGGCAGGGACGTGGCCACGGGGCTGGCCGCTCAAATTGGTTCCATTCTTTTTGAGGACGTGGACACTTTTGAGGCTTTCGAGGGGAAACTCTGAGTCGCCGTCTGCATACCTCGGCCCGCCCTCCCCCCCTCCTGCACTCCCGCCCCTGCGAGTTTGGAAACCCCGCCGCCACGACTCCAAGTCGCGGAGCGCCCGGCCACACCCGCGCGCCCGCGTGTCGAAAGGGGAGCTGTCCAGTCCTGCTCACCTGGCACCTTGCGGGCCACCTGCAGGGACTGGCGGCGGGGTGGGGGGGATGAAGGCCTGGCCGGGGTCCCGGTCCCCCTTCCTGGTCAGCCTGCCTTGGGGTCGTTGCATTCATTTTAGAACGTCCATCCCCTGTGATTTAGGGGATGGGGGTGGGGTGGGCTGGGTGGGAGTCGCAGGATGCGCCTAGGGTGGGCGTAGGGGTGGGGAAGGTCCATGAGCACCCGCTCAGACCCAGGCGTTTGAAGTTCCTCCTTGGGCCCTGGCCTGCCTCTCCTGTGGCTGATCCTGAATCGGGTTTTGGGGGATGTGCGGGGGGAGGAATCGTCTGGCTCTGATTGTACCAACGTGGAGACCAAGGAATTCTCTCCCTCCCCGACTGTTTGCTGACGCAGCGGCGCACAAGTCCGCCTCCCCGCTTCGTATCTCCCCTCCTCTTCTGGACAAACTAGCCTGATCTCAGATCATCCTGCAGCGAACCCCCAGATGCTGACCCCTGGCTGCCAACCACAGCCCAAGCACCGCCTGGCCTCCTCCTCACCCAGGGCCTTCTCGGGCCAAGGGCACCCCAAGCAGTTCCCCCACCAGCAGGGAGCCAGCCTTGTTGCCAGCACCCAGGCCTTTTCCCTCATCCCCAGGAGAGGAGTTAGGCTTGACCTTGAGCCCTGCAGTGGGAGGCCAGGGTTCCCAACCCTGTGAAGTCCCTCACAGAAGTACCCTGGAGGTCAGGCCAGGCCCAGAGCTGGTGACCCCGGTCTCCCCAGCCGTCCTGGAGCAGCCAGAGAGAACCCCTCTCCCCTAAATCCTTGCAAAGGGACATGTTCAGGTCAAGCCAGCCTCCAGGCAGTGGAAGCCGGTGGGCTGCAGTTCCATGAGAATGTTCTTTTCTCATCCTCCCTCCCCTGCTTTTGTGCTTTGCTTTAAGGCAGAATTTTTGCCCAAGTTAACTCCATCTGCAGCTAATAGCCGAGACAAATTGGGGAGGGGTATTTTTAAATGGACTGTTCCTTCGAAACTTTAAGGTTAATGGACATAAACCTAATTAGTAAGATTGATAACAAACTCTGGTTTTGTTCTGACCCCTTCCCAAGCTTTTTGGAAATGACTTGGAGTGCAAGCATTCCAAAGGGTGTCTGGTCTCTCTCCACACTGAAGTTAGTTTTGAACTGAATGATGATCTTAAAGTTTTGCAGGTTCTAGTAGCAAGAGCCCAGGGGCCGGAGACACAACTATACAGTCCAAGAACATTTTTACCTTTTCCCAAAAATGTTGGTGTTAACACAACGAACCAAAAGCTTTCACTGTGTGATCCACCTTTATCAGGGAAGACAAGCTTCAGACTACGTGGCCACGGGCTTTTTCCTGGGGAATTAAGGGTGTGTGACCACTTTACCACTGTGCGGATCTGCCTTGGCAGAACTGTATCTGGGTGGCCGTGTATGTTACTGAAAGACAAGGATTCGAGGGGCACCAAGACTCCTGTGTACGTGGAGAGAGGTTTGGGAGAGAAACGCTCCTGGAGGCCATTCGATGTTTCTTGGGTTAAGTTGGCTACATCATTGGATTTACAGTAACTCCCCAAGATCTTGAACATTTAGTTATGGGGTTGGTTGTCTTGGTAAAATGAATTTAAAAAGGAGAGCTTTTTTTTTTTTTCTTTTTAAGTGTAATTATGAATTTCCCTTTAGCAAAACACCCCGAAAGAAAATGTCAGGTAGTTTTTAGAATGAGAGAAGAAGAAGTCCAGGCGCACATTTATAAACGGAGAGGAAAGTGTCTCTTGAGGAGGCAGCAGAAGGATCTGATAACTTGAAAAACATTCCTGGAGACTGATGCAAATACCGAACGCGGCCGGGCCCCCTCCCTGCTGATGTGGCAGGGCTGGGAGCCGGCACACGTCAGCATCTGGTGGGAGGCCCTGGAAGCAGACAAGACGGTGACAATGGAGAACACCCGAGCTGAGACTTTGCTTCAGAAAGTGGAAGAGAGATTCTGTTTCCAGTCGTTTTCTCCTCTTCAGTTGGACACTCCGTGGTCACTGATTGGGGGAGATAGCTGATGCAGTGTGTCTTTGAAAGCAAGAATTTTTTAATGCGTGCTTCTAGGGCCCTGTGAACTATTGTGTGTTGTAAATAACAATCAGCTTTGTGTGTCTCGGGTGGGACTGAGAGAGCTCGGGGAGTTGCCCCCAGGACTTCTAGTTTCCCAGCCTTGGCCTCAATAGTATGTGGGAGAGGGGGAAGAGGAGAGGGTGGAATTGAGTGGGAGGGAAAAGGAGTGAGGAGTTGGGTGGGGTCTGGGCTGAGAGCGGAGGGATGGAAAAAGGGAGGCAAAACTTCTGCAATTTTGCTGCTGGACAGTTAACTCCTAAGCTCCTAGGCACAGACCAAAGGGAAGCTGCTCTGTTCCATGTGTCACAGCTCACTGAAGATGAACCATGGGTGTCTTTGTGTACGGCAGGCGAGCGTGGCTGGGAAAGGAATGCACCATAGCCTGCTGAGGGCTTGTGGGGTCCTACTGAAATGTTTGTTGAGCACCCACTGTATGGAAGGCTCTACCCATGCATTCTCATTCTGCTTTTGGTGGTCTTGTTTGTCGTGCAGCTGTGAGGAAGATGTTTGCCGACAATGAAGGTGGCAGATGGAAAGCTCACTTCTGTCTGGGATATCTGGGAGGCATGGAGGTCTCGCTCTACTTCATAGCAAGTAGGATGTTCGTTTCCTAATGAAACCAGATGCAATTAACTCCAGCCGTGTTGTGTGTTGAGCCAGACGCTGTTTCAGTTGGTGGCTCTGTATTTAGGAGACAGAAGGGCATGCTCACTGCCTTCAGGGGGCTTACAGGGTATTGGAGGATGGAGAAGACTGCGTCAAGGATTGGGACCAGAGAGCAGAGTAATTCGTGGTTATGGGAGGATTAAAGATACACATCTAAGCTAGCTTCGGGTGGTTGGAGTCAAGGAGGACTTCTTAGAGGAGGCATCCTCCTTAAACAAGAATAGGATATTAAAATGAAGGAGGAGGGGCCCGGCACAGTAGCCTAGTGGCTAAAGTCCTCACCTTGTATATGCCAGGATCCCATATGGGCACCGGTTCTAATCCCAGCAGTCTCACTTCCCATCCAGCTCCCTGCTTGTGGCCTGGAAAAGCAGTCAAGGATGGCCCAAAGCCTTGGGACCCTGTACCTGTGTGGAAGACCTGGAGGAAGCCCTGGGCTCCTGGCTTCAGATTGGCACAGCTCCAGCTGTTCTGGCCACTTGGGTAGTGAATCAACGGACGGAAGATCTTCTTCTCTGTCTTTCCTCCTCTCTGTATGTCTGACTTTCCAATAAAAATAAATCTTTTTTTAAAAAGAGGGAGGAGGGTGGTCTAGGAAGAGGAGCTGGTAAACTTGGCAGCCCAAGGGATGGAAACGTATTTTGGCTTGATGAGACTGTGGAAAGTAGAGGGAGAGACAGAGGAAGGTATTAGAGCTGAAACTGACAGGATCAGAGCAGAAGGGACATTCAGGCTGTGTTCTGGTGTTTGTGTTTTCTCGCTGGGCTGCAGGAATGTTTGGATGATTTCAAGTACAGAAAGTATGCAATCAGAGAGCACTTTTAGGAAGGCGACTCGTTGCAATCCGGGACAATGATTAGAAGGGGGACACGGGAGAGATAGGGAAGTCAGTCGCAGGCTGCAGCCGTCATTTCTGAGGGGAAAATGACAACGGGCTGGGCCAGGGCAGCATCAGTGGAGGGAAGCTGATGAGCTTCAGAAATATGTGGGAGGTAGAGGAAAATTGTCAAGTCGACTGAGAAGTAGTACCCACACTGGCTGGAGGAAAACCCAGGCATCTTTGTCATGAAAGGAAGGGAAGTGCAGGGTTTTTTGGGGGGTGTGCGGGGGCAGGGAAGAGAGCCTGTGGTGTGCTGAACAGTGTCAGATTTTTCCCTGAGAGGCCAAAGGAAGCCTAAAAGGATCATGTAAGTTGGTCCCTTGAAGGTCATTGGCGACCTTGGTGAGAGCGGTTTCAGTGGAAGGGAGCTGAGGTGAGAGCAACTAGAAGCAGTGAGCAGGGACAGTAAATACACCTGGTGTGGAGTGAGAATTACAGCCGGCCCTGGAAAGGAGCTATGGGATTAATACACAAAAGAGCTGTTTAATGCTGAATCCCATTTTAAAACCTTTCCTTGCAATGTTCTTTACATTTCCATATTGCAACCTTCTTCTTTTTTTCTCTTCAAAGTAAGCAGCATTAGGGGCCAACACCATGGGTTAGCAAGGTAAGGCTCCACTTGCGGTGTTAGCATCCTAGAAGGGCATCTGTTCAAGTCCCAGATGCTCCATTTCTGATTCACTTCCTTGCTGTTGGCCTGGGAGTCCTTGAGCCCCTGTACCCACATGGAAGACCTGAAAGAAGCTCCTGGCTCCTGGCTTTGGTTTGGCTCAACTTCAGCCACTGTGCCCATGTGGGGAGTGGACA